GTGTGTGTGTGTGTGTGTGTGTGTGTGTGTGTGTGTGTGTGTGTGTGTGTGTGTGAAGCTGCCGTGGTGCCCTCCATTCTGATCCTGGAAATATTAACTTTGCTCAGAAGTTTATTACCATAATGACTGTAAACACAGAGGAACTCAGATGTTTGGTAGAACATAAATCTTTGTTTATTTAATAACTGATAAGAAGAAACTAGTCGCAGCGCCTCAGTGGAGAGTTTTCATGACGTGACGTGATATTGGCCACTTAAACTTTTGAATCCTTCAGATGAGGTCATCCCATTTGGCATGGCTTGGCTCAGGTTGGACCAGCACAGTCCAGATCRGTCTGCCAACTCCTTCTGGAAAGSCCCTGTRGAACTCCAGTGTGAGCTCTGCACACGCGGTGCACGGCTCCTTGTCACTGYGTCGYRCTCCCAAAGAGCCTGCAGTGRCAAGCAGAGTTGTAAAAKGATTATTCTTAGAAGCTGAAAACAGTTCAGCATATAAATACACTCTCTRCTATTGTCCACCAGTAAGGCTGAATCTGTTCCTGGTAAAGGTATTTTTGGCACAACTTTGTGCATCCTTTATCTAACTGTTTCCATGTGGATGTAATAACTGTTATTCATGTGTGTCTGGTGTGAACAATAATCATTTTCACATCAACAGTTTGATTGATTGATGATGCCTTTATTGTCATTGTACGGAGCACAGTGAAATTACATTTAAGAACACCCATTCAAGAAGACACACATGACAAAAACATGGGGGAACAGGTGATCAGGTCATGCAGCAACCAGCAGGGGTCGTGCTACCTTTAAAAAGAAAAATGAAAGAATCACCTTTAAGTGTCTCCAATGGAACCAGAACAGAAACGTGTGTACACCAGCCCTGGAGTTGGTGTGGGGCTGCACACAGTTGTGTGGAAAAGGGCAATGCAAGCTTTTTGACACATGAGGCCTGAGGACTAGAAAACAGCTCTCTAAATGTTGARCTACCTGGAGCAGCAAGGAAAGGTTTATTCTTTGTTCCTGTTTTCCAGTTTCATGGAGCTCCAGACTACTACGATGCCATGCTGAAGTACCTCAACATAGTGTTCACCACTCTCTTCTCTCTGGAGTGCATTCTGAAGATCATTGCTTTTGGTCTACTGGTGCGTACCAGAAGCAGGTGACATCTAAAATACCTGGAAGACACATGGCAGCTGATTAATCATTACCACTGTTTTCTCTTTTGCAGAATTATCTGAAGGATGCCTGGAATGTGTTTGAYTTTGTGACAGTGTTGGGCAGCATCACTGACATCCTGGTAACTGAAATCAATGTAAGAGTGCCACTTCCCCACACCACATGGCTATACTATACACAAACAGTACTGCTGTGACTCAAACCAGCACACGTCCAGGTTCATACAGGCATTATCAGTTACAATCACATGACGGATGTTTTAGTGTTTGAGGAAGGAGATGATTGAACAGTTTTGTGGCGACATGAGGAGTCATGAGATRTTACAGGAGTTGAGTCTACCTCAGAGATTAAAGAGATAGGTTATTTYTGAAGAGATGTTSTGTCAAATAATTATAAAGGTTAGTACAGTGAAGGTAAATAGTTTGYCAGTTTTCAGGCCTATAAACAGCTTTTTTCAAAAACAACATACAGATGTGAAAACATCTACATGAGACATGGGGTCAGAAGGTGTTTTGGGTTTCTGCATCACTCTCACCCAGCTGACCCAGCCGGAGGTGATCAGGTTCCAACATGTGTCCCAGTAGCAACCCACAGATCAGCCCTCCCAATCCAAGTCCACCTTTTGGCCTTATTTGCAGCTTCATTAGCAACCTTAACATCCCTCCTCTGGACTGTCCCAGTAACTCCTAACAGGCTGAGGACTTCACAGAGTGAACTCCCTGTGTCTTACTTCTATATTGGGGGCACCCATGYACCTGCTAGTTAGGCATCTTACTATCTTTTCATCAGTCATTAGAGAAGGATCCCACACAGCAAAATGTGTCTGGCTCAGTTCTGGCCCACACTATGCACTAACACTCAGCCCAGATAACTCTCCAGAAGAACTCTGAATCCTGAAGTTTGGGGCTTTTAAAGGCCTTGGTCTTAAACTTTTTGATCAGCTTGTTTCAGTTTAATACTTGTTTGTAATAAAATGCTGACTCAGAGGATTTTTTTCTCTCGCTTCCATTTCTTCTTTCTGCATTTTGAAGCTCTACTTAGAAACATCTTAAGATCTGCCATCTGTCCATTTTCTGCCAGTTATCCAGACTTCCCTCTCCCCAGCTACTTGGGCCAGCTCCTCTGAGGGAATCCCAAGGTGTTCCCAGGCCAGCTGAGAAATATAGTCCCTCCAGTGTGTCCTGGGTCTTCCTTTGGGTCTCCTCCCAGTGGGACATGGCTGGAACACCTCACCAGGGAGGCGTCCAGGAGGCATCCTAACCAGATAAACCACCTCAACTGGCTCCTCTCGACGTGGAGGAGCAGCAGCTCCACTCTGAGTCCCTCCTGGATGACTGAGCTTCTCACCCTATCTCTAAGGGAGAGCCCAGACACCCTGCTGAGGAAACTCATTTCAGCTGCTTGCATCTGCAATCTCGTTCTTCCGGTCACTACCCAAAGCTTGTGACCATAGATGAGGTAAATCGAGAGCTTTGCCTTCTGGCTCAGCTCTCGCTTCACCACGACAGACCGGTACAGCGCCCGCATCACTGCAGATGCAGCACCAATCAGCCTGTCGATCTCCCGCTCCATTCTTCCTTCATTCGTGAACAAGACCCTGAGATACTTAARCYCCTCCACTTGGGGCAGGACCTCCTCCCYGACCCRGAGAAGRCACMCTACTGTTTTCTGGCTCAAGACCATTGTCTCAGATTTAGAGGCACTGATCCTCATCCCGGCCGCTTCACACTCTGCTGTGAAACGGACCACATCATCCGCAAAAAGCAGAGATGTGATCCTAAGGTCACCAAAACTTCTCAAGCTCCAACAGTGCAAAATGTGAATTCTTGCCAATTTTCAACTGGTCTTGTAAAAGAACATTAATTCATCTCTGCGCTCACCTGTGTGCAACTCTCCCCCTGGAGCCACTGGACTTTGTTGTGCAGTGGGTGGTCTGTATGTTGGGATGGAGGGCTGATGCATGTTTTGGTTGATAAACTAAAAACTTTTTAAAATTTGATTAAAAGTATCACATCAAACTTCAAAATAACTGTTAATAAAGACATGAAAATTTAACTCATAAAACTCTTATTATTTTTATTTTTATTTTTGGTCAAGTCCATAATGAGTCATGCGGCTCCAGAGTTGGGGGTTGTCTACCCCTATTCTCCATGATGAAAGCCAGTAACTCAGGCTAAATCCTCACTTCAACTGGGCAGTCCTCACCAGGTTTGCACCTGTTATCATTTGTGCAGCATTCTTAACAAACTGATCACAACACGCCCACTGATAGCACTGCTATGTTTTAGTTTGCCCAGCAATGTAGCGTTTGTTGTCTGGGATCTTCATAAATCAGACCCTTGGTCCCAGAGAATCAGGGTAACCAGGAGTTGTTTAAACATATGTGTGCAGAGCACGAACCGTGATGTGCTGATGGTTCTGAAGCTGTTATCAGTCCACAGCTGACCCAATTCCCTGCAGACTGATCCATTCAGCAGCTTCAGAACATTTAACAGTCTGCATCGACACACTGACCRTTGACATTGATTGAGAAAACAAAAGTGTACTTTAGTATTAGCTCATGTATCATWTCAGTATGTTGTTTTTGAGAACAAGTTGTTTTATAAACCTGAAAAACAAACAGACTTGTTTGACCAGTCATTAGCCTGGACCAGACCAAGACTTCAGTCTCTTTGTTTGATGACACAGTTGATAAGATACCAACAGTTGATAAAAATCAGACACAAGATGGTGTGATAAAATGTTTGGACTTTACCCTGGAACGGTTGGGCAGCATGTGTTCTGATTTCTGTGTTGTTCAACAGTTGTTTACGTGTTTTCCTCTGTACATCATTGTGCACATTTGTTGACTAGTATCTGTTTCCATGGAGCAATATAACTGTTTTSCTGCCTGTCCTTCCCCTCTTCTCTGTCTTTGCTCTCTTTACTTGTCTGCATCTTTCTGTTTGTGCTCCAACCTCCCACAACATTATTTGTTGATTCTCATCACTGATGTTGCCATGCCCGGTCCCAAACACCATTAGACTACGGTGAGTGACTTTTTGCTGATGTTTTCAACAGTTTGAAATTTTAGTAGTTTGTTTATTGGAAAAACATCCTCTGTTTTCCTGAACTTGTCCTCCGCCTGGTTAGCATTACTCTTCTGAATGAAGGCCTGGCACTCCTTGAAGACGTCACCCACTGTTTTTCATGCCACAGCTCTAAACCCTAATCATCATTCACCATAAGAAGGGAAGGATTTCAGTAGACCCAGTCAGTTTTGTTTGGCTCATGTTGATAAGCTGTGGTAGTGTCTGGACTTTGGGTGACTCTGAAAGGTAATCAGTGACGGAGGAAAGTTTCTGTTCAGTGATTTATTAGATATTTTGCTAACTTACCAGATAAATTAGCACATATATAGATGCATAACAGTTTAGCCTTTAGGCAATAACTATAATGGAAACTTTAACAACCTCTTCCTCCAAATGAAATAAATCAAATGAGATATTTCCTTTAAAGTTGTAACTGATTTTGTGTAAGATCACTAAGGTCACACGATTGTGGCWGCCATCTTGATTGGCGCTGACTCTAAAGTTGTAGATTCTCAAACCTCTAAGAGTTTCACTGGGATCTGTCTAAAAGTTGATGAGTTTTTACTAACACAGACAGACACATAGAAGGACCCAGGTGACAGTGATTTGTTGATTTTCATCAGGTGAAGATGTTATGAGGTGTGTTGATACGTAAAGGTYTTGATGTCTCTTTGGGTCCAACAGGACAGGCTGCTGAATCTGAGCTTCCTGAGGCTTTTTCGAGCTGCTCGCCTCATCAAGCTGCTGAGGCAGGGCTACACCATCCGCATCCTGCTGTGGACCTTTGTCCAGTCGTTTAAGGTGCTGTCAGAAGAGCACACACTCTGCATGTGAACGCAAAGTCCAACACACTGACTGCAGTCATTCAGAGYRGAAATGAATTATTAAATGTGTTTCTGGTCTCTTCCCTTCAGGCTCTGCCATATGTGTGTCTGCTGATTGCCATGCTGTTCTTTATATACGCCATCATAGGGATGCAGGTGAGTGTGGAACCTCTGTACATGTATATATCTGGCCTGATTCAGATTAAAGACTGTTGTTTGGGTTGTAGGTGTTTGGTAACATTAAGTTGAATGACGACACATCTATAAACCATCACAACAACTTCCGCACCTTTCTCCAGGCTCTCATGCTGCTGTTCAGGTAAAGYTGGCCTGATTATCCATCTGATTACATTACTCATAATAAAGGTTTTTATTTCATAATTCTATTAAAACKTTATGTTTAATACCATCATGATTTGGTATGAGTGTTTGATAGCTTGATGTACAAACTTGATTATCATTGATTGTTTCAATTTGTCTTTCATATAAATTCACAAAGTCTGTGATTTGAGTTGATTTGGACCCAGCCACACCTGTCCATTGATACGATGCAATGAAGTGTATGTTTACTGTATTTAGAAAATATTAGATTCTTATCAATACATTTTTACTTTTTTAAGTTTAACATACTTTAGATTTTTATGCCAGTCCAGGTCAGAGATGAAGATGCAATCATGTCAGTGTTGACAAACTACTTGMTGCAACATTGACCAGCTTTAGTGATTTGGATTCATGTCAACATTAGTAACTCAGTGGTTTTTAAAGGTGTCCACAGTGTTCGTCCTTCAACTGTCATCAGTAAGGCAGCACAGAAGGAGGTGTCATGGTGAACTGAATGACCAGAGCCCGTATTTATCAAAATTATTRGAGTGGATTTTTTGACTTAAGTGCTGAACAYTTCTTAGATTTGYTCYTCCTCTCAGTCTTAAGTGTAAGTGCCAGTTATCAAAATTCTTAAGTMTAAGAATCACTCTTACTCTCAAGAAAAGTTAAGACTGCTCCAGAGGACTCATAAGTGGTTCAGAGTTGCCACTAGGGGTCTGAGATGGACTGAAGACAGAGATTACAGCTGTCCTCTTGTGACTCTGAGACATAAAACAAACTTTAAAGCTGAGTTTTTGATTAATAAAAAATCTGAGATTTTCATCTGTTCTCATGATGCAAATGAGGACATTTTAYRTAATTTACAGACAATCAGTACATGGTGACATTAGTGTGTTAAAAGTGAACTTATCTTAGGATTTTCACAGTTTTATCTTGCCATTTCTCCAACAATATTCTTGAGCATGAAATCCGAGGCAGTGATTGGTCCGTGTCGGGGGGTTTTCTAACGACGTCATCCAGGATCAGATTTGCGGCACAGCCAGGTGTCACAAATCAGCTCTAAGACTGACACTTAAGAATTACTCCTACACTTCGCTTAACATGAGACTGAGACGCTTGATAACTGACTTTTACTCTCAGCTTTTAACTAAGAATTTTTTACACTTAAGCCCACTCTTAGCAGCATTCTTTAGAGCAGGGGTCACCAATACGGGGCCCGTGGGGACTTTCTGAGTCGCCTTCAGGACACCTTCCAAAAATAGCGCTGATTGATTGACTGTCATGGAAGCAGCACTGTAAATGCTAAAAAAAGGAACCAAAAGTCACCCATGTGCCATTTTGAGCTTTTATTAACAAAACACTTTCCAAACAGCTGCTGTCAAAGCCACATCTCCCAGTAAAACCCAGTTAAACACTCATCAACTTCTCTCCTGCGTCTCTCTCCCAGTCCCTCTCTGTCCTGCGGACTGCAGCTACACACAGACACACACTGAACTCCACCCCCAGCCCCCACCCTTCAGAAAATTAACCCTTAGAGCACAGATATTCAGCTTGTTTACCTCTGAGTAGAGGGAAAACAAGCACTAAAAC